ATTTTTCATTGTATGCACACTTTCGGTAGCAATTTTGACTATGAATAATGCTCACAATTATAATACAGGGTGTTAAATTACATGTGAGGAGAGAAGGAAGTTTACATGTAATTTAACTGGGGACAAGTAGCAAGGCTTCACGTGCCGTCCCTGATTTCGACTGATTGCTACACCACGCGCAACACTTCCAAACTTCCAGCCCGAGTTTGGATCGCCCTGGCGCGAAATAATATGATGATGATGATGATGTAATTTAACACCCTGTAATATATGCTTGTTTTTAAACCTCGTAAATATAATTTATCTCAGATTTATAAGTTTTAAGCTCGAAATCCTAGGAAAGCACCCAAACTTCATCATCTATAATTAATTTTGTTTGAATGATTTAATAAGTGATGCTATGTCTATAGGGCCCTTATGTGCTTCTTACTTTTCTGACAAATTTGTAGTTCTCGTGTATCTAGTGTGCAATCGTCATAGGGAAGTAATGATCACATGCTTGAAACATGAGCAATAAGAATAATACTCTCTGTAGACAAAAAATCATGAACTATTTAATAAAGGTGCATAATTTTGTTCGATTGTTTAATGTGCTCACATTTCCTCGATTTTCCTGCGTATGTTGACATCCAAAATCTAAAACAAGGGTGTCTCCCAGTCGGCAAAACAACGTTGGTACAATGTCGATTCGACGTCAATCTTCGAGGTTTCGACGTCGTCTCGACGTCCAAATAAGGTAGAAAGCGCAAATCAAAACGACGTCGAAACAATGTCGAAACAACGTTGAAATCACGACGTTGATTCCACGTTGCAATCTCAACGTCGAAACAACGTCGAAATAACGTCGACTATTGTCGCGACGACAATTCAGCCGATTTTTCGATATTTTGACGTCGAATCGACTTCGAGTGCCCACTGGGCTGATTATATCAAAAAATTTCGGTCGCTTATCCAGTACTTTAAAAGGAGTCGGAAATGCGATTGTTGCCTTATTTCGAAACAACTAAACTAAATTCTGATGGCATAGAATTTAGACTAACACTCGAGCACCGCCGTTTTCAGATTTTTAATATATCTTTTGAACCTGGTATATAGCAACGCGAGTATACTAATTAACCCTACGAAAAAAAAACATTAAAAGTTTTCATTTTTTTTTCAATAGTATAAGCCATATTCATTTGAAAAAAACTTTGGCCTCATTCTTCAGGATTTTTACCCTCCATAAGAAAATCACGCAAATCATGAAGTAATTTGAAAAATACAACAGATTGCACAAAAGGGCCACTTTTTTGAAATGCTGACCTAAGTGTATCGGCTGAACTCCTATGATTACTGGAGGTAATGCGAAGGTCATTAAAGAAAATATAACGACTAATCGACATGAGTTTGCTAATTTTATGTTGTGTAATAAATTCTTGCGTGAGGATTCTTCAACTTGAGACGTATATTTTTGAATCAATTCGTGTTCATCCATCACACAATTCTTTCGTTGAAAAAGTTTGTAAACTCTGTTTGGTCTTCCATCTACTTCGTGTTTTGAACTTGACCTTACTTTACTTGTATTTAAAGTATCAGATTGATATGAGAGATTTTTATTTGGAAAGTCTTTCGACTTTCATGTTTCTTCTACGTCAACTACTACGTGCCTCCTCTGCATTTCAAAATTTTCATCGACTTTTAATAATTTGCTGCTTGTTTTTTCAACTGAGACGAGTATTTGTTTGTATATTTTTCGGACGTGCTTGAAACATTGAGTAAACGTTGTCCTTTGTTAATCATGGTTGTTACTTCATGGCGTCCAAGCTTTAAACCACTTCCCCGTAAAAGCGATTTTCTTTCCACAAAATAACCTTAACATACACTATAACAGTTCCCAGGAAATGCAAAAGACAAACACAAGCAAAAAGTTCACGTAACATTAAAGTCGAATCAATTAAGTTTGCAATCGTGCACATCAACAAAGTAAGAAAACAACCTTTAAACACAAAAGCTGTTAATCTAGTTTTTGTCATTTTCTACGATGATGTATTGGATATATGATGACCAAAAAACTTTTAATATTCATACAGGATAACACAGATACAGAAGAGCCAATAAGTGCATAGTAAACCATCCTCTCAACGTGGTACAACGTGCAGTTGAAATCTAACATAAAATCTCAACAAGAGATTTTAAATACTGATGCAATAAGTGGGGCATATATAATATATATGGCCCACTTATTGCATCACGGTTTTAATATGCACATTCCTAACACGGTTTTAATATGCACATGAAAAACATGTGACTTGGTGCCATCCAGTAAACTGCTATAGTGGCGAGAATATATCGTCCATACGCAGTTTAAAAGAGATTTGACTCGTCTCCAGTCTCTGTGTGCTTGGTAGCTCAACAGGTAGAGCGGTGGACTAGTATCCCGAAGGTGCGAGTTCAAATCTCGTCCAAGTCATATACTTATATTTGCCCAGTTATTAAATTAAGAAACATATATTTTTCACCTTTAAAGTTTTTCAATACTTCTTGGGGGTGGACATATTTACGGGGATGGGGGACATAATTTCTAAAAAATTTGTAACGAGGTTGAAAAAAACTTGAATCTGGAGAGACAATTTTAGGGTTGACGTATTTCTAGGGGTACCGGCAACATTTTTCTGACGTGCCTGTTGTGACTAGGTAACTTCAACCTTTCACCCACAAATTCCCCCCTCAGTGAGATAAACATCTTTTTAAGGTGAATTTAAACCTGCAGTCTTTATAGTTGTTGGTATGGGCCCTAAAAGTGGGACCATATTCATATTTATTCTGCTATGTCAAAACGATTCCTTATAGAAGTGAAACTGTTTTTGAAAAGAAATTAGCCAGGCATTGCAGAATATATGAAGTGATGCTCCCCCAATTAACGTAGAATTGACTTGTGGTCGTTGCATCGACGTAACACATAAAGATATATTTGTAACTTATCTGCTTGAGGACAGAATAAAAATAGATTCTCGGGGTCTCGAAATAGCTTAAAATCATCGTTTTTTATGTGATACATGGCTCTATAGCTCGGGTGAAGCCGTTAATCTATAAAACATCATGGATTCGGCTGTCAATATAGGTCGTCAAGATAGTAGAGATGTAACACACTGTTAAATGCCACCTATAATAAAGGTGGCTAGGTAAGTTTTCTGGTTGCGCATAAATTAGAAAAAAAATTACTCGTGCTACGAAGGTTAGCCCAAGTCTGTAAATTTGCTTGAATTTCCCTGTAAATGTCGTATGATTGTACAAATCACACGTAACTGACACGAATCCTTGAACAAATCATAATCTTCCTAAATCGTTTCTCTTTTGAGTGTAACTAATTGCACGAAGTCGTGAGTCGTCGTTAGATTAAACTGCTGTCAGTTTTTTTTGTACATATATGGCAACCACCGCTTCACTCACCTTTCAATAAGTTTTTTCTCTTCCTACACACACTGAACAAATTTATTAGCGATTTCTTATAGCTGATCAACAACAATCACTAAAACAACTAAAATGCGATTAAATAAAGATGTCGTCTACAAAGGACTAAGCAATTTAGCACTCAAGTAGCGCGAAACAACTATCAAGAAAAGCTGCTTGTGTAAATTTACAAATATTTCAGCCTCTCTTTGCTTTTTAGTTCTGACTAAAGTTGGTATATATGCAACTGCAACACATACGATCACTTTATAATGCACTATGAAATTTAAATGACCGTAGCACTTAATAGTGTGATTTTTACTTTAGAAAGACTACGACACACATGATACCAGCTCTAGGCCGCATGTTTAAGTTTGAAATGCTTTATGATCACCGTTCTGAGAAGTTGGTTATGGTTCTTGTTTCACTTGTTTAATGGTTCTATTTCTCAAAAATGGTTTTCGGTCCCCAATTACGTGGTGCTCAAGGATTTCTTTTAAATCATGCGTAATAGTTATGTAAAGCCCACAATTCACTTCAACCACATTGTAAATATTGAGATTAAGTATTGCATCGTGCAAAGAACTCAATGATTGAATTAGGAATTTCCTCAACATTTTACGCCAAAAGCATGAAGAGAACTCTCTAATGTTACCAATGGAGGAATCCTGCTCAAAAATAATTTCCTCCTTTGCTAATAAAATGTCATCAAGCTTACTAAACAATGGCAGCTTATTGGAAAAATTGGCGTCGACAGCAATAATGCAACCTCGTATTAAATTTTTTAAAGTTTAAAATCATCCATTTAAAGTTTTAACTTAACAAATTTGAAAATCTCTTTAACACAATAGTCAGAGCCATAATAAACCTAACACTCTAAAAAAATAATCTGTTAAACATTACAGGAAATAATTCTTTAGCAGTTTCACAATATTTTTTTGTGAATTTACTATAAATCTTAGCCTCAAACAAACATTTTTAACTTATAAGACGCCATTTCACGTACAACACATGCCATTATAACATGTCAATCACGTTTTCTTTGTTTGTTCGAAAGCGGGAAAGTATAAATACAGAATTTAAAATTATATTTCGTCACCATCGCGAAGGATAATTTATTTCCGATATTGGAAGGAATTTCTACAAAATATAGATGCACTAAAGGTTTGGTTTTCATATTTACACCAATAAAAAGACAGTGTATGAAAGTTTTTGAGGAAGAGCAGGGAGTTTGCTTATAAAACTAATGAAAGTAGAGCAACTTTGCATCGATTCCTTGTACCAGTAATTAAAAACATAGCATAAACATAGCATAAACGCCAGCCCAAAAAAACATGTTTTGCTTCAACGCAAAAGTTTCACACAAAACCAGGTCAGGTCGAAGCAAGTGTCAAAAATCTCTCAAAAGGTTATAAAAGTGGTTTGAGCTTTAAATTTCATCCAATCTAATTTTAAATTCTAATTTATACTAAATATGACATTAAAACCTTAACGTATTTCGGTACTTTATTTCTTTGCTTTATTTTATTTACATTCCTTCATATAAAAGCATGAGAGACTTTGAAAAATTATTTTTGGAAAAGATATTTATATTTGGTTTTGTGCTTTTTCTTGGTAAACCAAACGCTTAATGCAGCTTTTTAAAATTTAATTTCGATAAATGGTGCGATTTTTATAAAGAAAGTATGAAAATATGTTGAAAATATTTTGAAATTATGTTGAAAAAGTTTTTTGAAGCTTGCTATTGTCAATAAAAAGTAAAAATTACAACGATGGTAACTTGAAATTTACTTTTGTGAGTTTATGAGTCAATTAATTTTAAGGATTTTACAAAGGTCTTCCACATGCTTGACAAACTAATTTCTCTTCCCATTTCTCAATTAATTTGATCACGTCATTCCTTTTCATGACATTTACAACCCTTTTTAAAGCATCCACATTATTTTTGTAGGGTTTTTTTGCAGCCCATTTTTTAATTGCTATTCTAGCAAAGCTTGTTTTATCTCTCTGGCAATGTTTTTTCATAGTCGTTACTTCGTGTTGTGTAAAACAATCTAAAGCACTCGCTATATCTTTTGCATTTAATCCTTCGTCGTCAAGGTAATCACATATCTCTGTTATGGAAGCGTGATCAATCTTCTCAATTTGCCATAAATTTCTGTCTTGCGTAAGTGCGTCTTCGTTGTTGCAGCTTTCACATACTTTTACTGCATTGTTCTGACCTGCGTGAGAATCAGTTTCTTTTTCAGACATTTTTTGAGGTTTGTCACTGTTATGACGGAGATTTTTGGAGTTATCTTAGTAAAATTGAAAACGACGTTTATATGAATATAGATAAAACGCAGCAGAATGTCAAATACACAATGTAAAGCAGTCGCTTATTAACCAAACTTATTTATTTTAAAGAGCTTTTTTTGTATTAATTTGTATAAAGCATAAATGTTGTGTTTAGTACACAACAGTCTGGATACCAGAAACTTCAAAAACTCTTCTTTTCTGTGTCTTATATTACGAAAGGCTTATGTAAAGTGTAAACTCCATCCACCTTTGTACATAAAGAATAAAAATTTTATCCAGTAGGTAATAGACTAGAGACAAACATAGTAAATGCAGCTAAATACATAGGAAATAATAGCACTGCCTAGTCGTTACAAAATACCTAGTTTTTGCTAGTTGGTTTTGAGGTGACGTGTGCATCTCCTGCTTGTTTATCTATCATAATGCATGTCTAATTACCTGCTGTGGGTTTACGTTTTGATTTTGGAGTGCTCGCGTAGCCTCCATTATTTTTGCTCTCAATCTTTTTAACTTCATTCATTCCTGTGACGAAAAGCATATAAAAATTAACAGAAAAGGCTTTTTTTACAATTGAGATATTATTTTTATTTGTATGCGACTAAAACTTGATTAAAACAACAAAATACACGTAGTACTTACCAACATTTTTCGCTTTTTCATCTTCCTGATCAGAATTTGGGAAGACCTCGGGTGAGGGATTGCATTTTTGTTCATTGTTTCCTTGTCCGTTAAGTTCACTATTATTTTTCACTGGCTCAGGATTGTTCAACTGTTCCTTGTCTATACAAAAGAAAGATGAGAAATTTTTTATGGTTATATATTTTTGCTATTCTTCGAGGTACTATCAGAAGTATTTTTTGCGAGTCATGTTTTGCATCAAGCATTAATATAAACATACTAGAAGTTGGCTGCCCACAGGTAAATTTCAAAGTAGAAAGATGTTGAATTTGTTTCTTTTTTTTGTCTTATAAACATGACACCCAAAGCGAAATACTGCACATACTCTCTCATGCTTTTATATATCAGAGAGTACAAAGAACTAACGTTAGCCACACATGCCTTTATTCATGCCATGCTAGTTTCTGTTCATCAAACAGAATGAACATCATTATGTAATCTACGTAAAGGAAAGCAAATCTCACAGTAAATTGTATGATAACATTTTTAGAAGTTAAAATATAAGCAACATTCACGCACGTAACAATAGAAAAATATAATCGTTTGTTTGTTACATATCAGTTTTAGCAGAAATCTGGCCATCTGATTGGCTGCAGAAGCAGGCAGTTTTTTAGGATATCTTGACCGCAGTTCTGTATCCAAAAGCTAAATACTTTAGCGTTAATTGTTTCGTTTCGTTTTGTTTTAAAAAGCAAATTACCAGCCAACTTTTGATTGTGGCTAATAGCCTATTTTAAATAAATTTTTATTTTTCAAGTAAAATAAACAGCAAAGATTTGATTCTTTTCTTTATAGCCATTATTGAATCTGACTAAGCATTCTAGTGAGACCGTTGCCTTTAGTAAAAAATTATTTACCTCTTAGGTTGGTCCTAATGGGAAAATATTTTTCTACCTGGAACTCCCCAAAGTAAATAACAAATACATCATTTCTTCACATGCAATATAAATTAAGATATTCAGTCTGTTGACATCTTCTTAGAATTGCTTTAAACAACCTAATGTATTTACCATTGATTGTGTTTTCTCTCTTTATTTCATTTGATGGGCAATGTCGCATTTTGGTGATTTTTACTTCAGTTTTGCCAGGAAAAGCTTTCCGAAATATCTCGTAAATATCGATTAGTTTCTTATTCGCCACAGCCTGTCCATCTACCTCTAATAGTCTGTCGCCTCTTTTCAAGGGCTCTTTCATTTCTTTGTAGGAAAATTGGCCAATTTCCCAAATAAGAATGCTATCTTTCTCTTCACATTCCCTTTCCTATTTGTAAAATGATGGTTCACAAAATGTTCTTTTGTCATCTTCATTGCTTACACAGTACGTTTAGCAAGCGATATATATTGTTTTTTGTGATCAGCTCAGTTAGCTATCTTTCAGGGCTCTGATGAACAGAGTAAGTAAATAGTGCAAATATGGTAAAAAATTTACTCAATATTGATTAAACCTGGACTAATCAGGCATAAATAATTTCTATAGATTTTTGAGTTTATCAAAACGTCTTCCTCGTTCTTACCTTCGAATAGAAATGAGCCAAATTAAGTTTTTTTTTAAATTCTTTTGTCTTTTTTATTTTGAAGGTGACTACTTTACTATTTGATTCACCGGGCCACTCTGATCCAAAACATGTCATTGCATCAACTGGCTTCCTGGTGTATACTTTAAATTTTGTTTCTTTATTGCTCAATATCTTAGTAAACTCACTATGTTCAAGATTTCGAGTGTCTTTATCGCTCAAGTTTGTTATCCATTGGTAAGACGTTATATTAGCATTTGCAGCCGGACTGTTTTTCTCGACATGGCTTACAATGTGGTACCACGTATTTGTTGATTTATCCTACGTTGAAAAGTGAGATTCAATTAGACTTATCTTGAATGTCAAATCAAACATGCTAAGCAAAAAATTCAATCAAGTTTATAAGACGTTCTACTTTTGGTGAAAAATTGTGGAAATTTATTGAATATTGAATTTCTAGAGACCAAAGAATTGCAATGAAAGCAATTAGCTTATAGCACAACTAAACTTGCAGGCTATCTAAATAGCTCCCAGAGAGAGAGAGAGACATTTGATAAATAGCCTGCTTTATTCGTACTGCTCCATAACCAACAGGTCATTGGAAAAACAACTGCGATAATATAACGTGAGGCTATCACATGCACATCTTCTGTAAAGGCACAATTTACCAAACAATTGAAATTAAAGTTGATGTAAATGAATATACCTCAAATGAACGAGTTTTCAAGCCCAGCTTACTGTCTGGAGTATTTCTTTTTATAACATGTTCAACAGGCTTATTCCATGTAAGTAAATCTGGCCACATCAATATATTTCTTTGAACTTTTGTCAAATCTTCCCACTTTATATCTGTCTCCATACTAATTAAAACAGTGAAATTACCTGAAAACAAATAGTCGAAAAAATAAATATCCTAATTATGTTTTTAGAAGAAATGTTGACCATTTTCACAAAAATAACAGCATACAAATATTTCTTACAGTATAAGTACCATTATTTTAGTAGTTATAAAATAGTATGCTCATTATACTGAGATGGATTGAATAATACTGAGATGGAAACGAGTAAAAAATACTAAATAATTAAGTTTTTAATTCAGAACAGAATTGCCGAATTTTTTCACGTTTTTAAATTTCGTATTACACCATGGTCGTATATGTAACTGCAGAAAGACACAAAACAAAAATTTCAAATGAAAGTAATATTCAAACTATGAAAACTGTGCTTCGTGTTTTTCTCTTACTAAAACAGAGAAACCATTCAACACAAGTGAGTCAACTGAAATCGGCGTTATCTATATCAAATCAACTCAATTTTTAGCTAACTTGGAAATAAATTATACGTTAGTAACGCACAGATTGCTATCCAAAAGATGGTATGATTGCTCCACTGCATGAAATAAAAAATATCTCACTCTCATATTAAGCACTGAAAATTGCACGAGTCAGCTGAAACACGTCAGAGGGAAAACAAAAAGTCTTTTACAAATGTCTTTTACTGTGTAGCTTGGCAACTGTTACAATTATGTAAATTATTACATAAAGCAAATGAGATCAATAACATTTCAAAATCGCTGAAAATATGACAACCAAACCAAACAAATATTGCTCAAAAAGTTCTCCAGAGAAATATATTGATATAAGCAGGAGTTCTTTCTTGGCAAATTAAAAAAAAACTAAAAAAACTATACTACAATTTTAAAAAGCTTAAGGGGATTCCCCACAAACGAAAGGGGAATTCTTAATGATTTTGTGAAAAATTTAACAACGCAGGTGATTAGATCAAAGAAAAATCATTCAATTTATTTGTTTTTAAGAGAAACATATAGATCAAGGATACAAAGAATAAAGTAGAGCACTCAGTAACCAGAAAAGTGCACATGAGAGCCCATAATCTTAACGTTACAAATATATATCCAAAATAACTATAATAGATATAAATTAAAAGGCTGAAGTCAGTTTGCCCGTACTAATATTCAGTAAAAGTGATTTTATCAATTCTTTGTAAAAAGGCAATTATGAAAGGTGAATTATTGAAAATCGTATCCTAAAATGAGACAACTCACTCGATAGTCAACATTACACAAACAAGCATTATAAAATGTACCGTACATTTTACTTGGAGATGTCTCTTCTCGTCATTCTGTAAGACTTTAGATCGTCTGTCCCACGTCAAACATCTTGAATACGGCTATAATTTCGTCGTAATGCCTTTTTTGATATTGTTTCTATACTTGCTGATATTGTTATGACCGCAATTGAAAATTGCTTGATCATCATTAGTCATTAGGTGATTCCCCTCCCGCTGCCCAGTCCTGCAACTCTCCTTTTTTGGATCATAACATATCTGCGCATTACTTACGTAAATTTCAGACGAGTATACACGTGAGTATCGTGACATAACTGACATTGGTACATATTTAACAGCAAACGTCTTCAAAATATGTTGAAAAGCTGTGATTGGGACATTTGCAACCAGTTCAAGGACCAAAATAAGAGAACGCAGGACAAATGTCACTGATGGGCCTTGCTCTACCCCTACCCCTACATCCTGAAAAATCTACTGCCTGCATTCTAAAAACATAGTATAACATAAAAGTTACTCTCTTTCTAATAAATAACAAAGTCATTTCTCCAACGATTTCAACTCAAGGGGCCCACATCAAAAATTGTGATTTTTTCATACGTCCATCGAGGAACCGAAAAATTTTTTAACCATCTTGTTACTTTAGTAGTACTTATCATCTTTAGCATGTATGTCAATCGTATAACTTGCACGTTAAAGAGAAAAATTGATTGTTTTATCTTGAATATATGATCAGAGAAAGGTGAAATCAATACTATGTTTAACGTCTTAGCCAATCAAAGCAAAGGGAGTCTTGCTCTCAACCAATTAGATAGCATCGGGGTGAAAGGTCTTCACGACACTTGTTAAACAATGGCGAACAACAAAGATTGCTGAAGTCGCTCACTCGGATGACGAGTTTTTTTGCGCTATGCCTATAAAAAATAATGCCATCTCATAATTAACATCATTTACACTTGTTTTTTGGTGTGTACTTATTTTTTTTACTGCTAAATAGAGAAAACTTTCATGTAATAAGGCGAAATGGCGCAGGAATCCGCGTCAAATTCTGGGGCTAATTGACTACCTTTACGTGGACAATTTGCCTTTTGCTGAAAATGTTAGCTCTTCATAGTGTTTCGTACCCATACCGCCGCTCTGAAATTAACTGACTTTAACAATTCCATTTCAATTTTTAAAGTCGGTTTTTCATCGTCCAAATGCTGCGAAGAGAACAGAACAGGCAAATAAGAATGAGAACGATCAACATACGGAATTTTCAGTTTTGGCGACTTGTAATTCAGTATATGTGAGATTATTTGGTACCAGTTGAGTTTCAAAGCTACATTTTCTTACAATTTGAGTTTATTACCCGAAATATAATTCAAATACCGCTCAGAATAGTTGTGATTCTACGTTGCCTTTTTTTGTTTCGATAAGATGAGAAATGCATATTGTATGATTTATTTTATCAATGTTGCTTCAATTTAACCAGAGCGATTTATCATTTCAATATTAAGCTATAATTTTGATAGATGGTAATTAAGATGTCCCGTTTACTTTCTATGTTATGAAATTTGTTGAGCTATGAGTCCATTTTTTCAATTTTTGAGCTTTGTTGTTTATTATACACATTTTTATATTGTAATTGGACTGTCATGTCCAACATTCGCAGCTGTTTGCAGTGCACACGACATCTTTGTTGTAGTAGTGAAATGTCGCTAGTTTAGCGAAGTAGTACTACTGTTATAGTATACTGTACATACAGTATTACAAGAATCCAAATCTATTTTAGCAATTTTATTAACAAACCAAAGTAGAAAAATTTACTTGAAGCATGGTATTGATGATTTTTGGTTCAATCAAGCAAAGACAAAATGCCCTTTATGTTCGGTGAAATAAAAGTTTGGAAACGTTGGTATATATACTTTAGAAATATTTTTAAAAATATACCATTGAATGTTTTGTAAGCCGTCTTTTTATCACATAGAATTTTCATGTTTATCTTTGTGATGACAATTTTGAGCTGGTGCACTTCACAACACTTCTTTAGTTGATAACATATTTCTTGTGTGATATTTCCGAGTCTATGTGCAAGCGTAGCGATTTTTTATTTCAAGATGGCGGACATCGTAATAAAGTAAATGGTTTAAACCCGGGAGTATCGTTACATGTTTGTAAATGTAGATCATCCAGGTTGGTATAATCCTGAGAAAGACTGTTTTTGTTGTTGTTGATTGACGTTTCGACAACCTTAGCGGTAGTTTTAAATTTTTCCACAAAAGATAACGATATTAGATAATTCCGTTTTGCCTTCAAATAGTGAACCTAGATTAAAGGTTTTCTTAATATGTTTATTATAAAATGTCTGAAAAGTGGTTGCATTCGACCAGCCAATCGATTCAACAATTTTCTTCATACCCCCTACTTGTGTTGCGGCAAATGAAGCATCTGCAGCTCAAGTGCTGTGACTTCCAAACTTTTTGGTGTCAATACCTGCAGCGTTTAATAATGTTTTACACTAACGTGAGATAGTTATCCGGGAAACCGCTTGATGCGGTTTTATAAAGCTTATTAAAATCTTTTTGCATATAGAACTGCACAAATCGTTAGTTCGATCAATGAATTCCGTCAAGTGCCGTACAATTCAAAGCTCTGGTTCATGAGGGTAGGCTTCATATGTAATTGGAGCAATGTGATAACCAAGTCTAAATGTTTTGATCTTTTCTCGGATTGTAAATACACATTTCGATTCAGATAGGTCCATGTCGGTTAAACTGAGCAGGTACATAGTTTGCCCTCCTGTTCCACTTAGTATTAAAAGAAGGAACGTTAATCATATAGTAAGATCTTTTAATGTTAAATCATGTATAGGGGGTTCTTTCCTTAAGTAATTAAACACAATATTAGCCTCCCAAATAGAATTGTAGTGAGGGAATGTAGGTATTAAATCAATATATACCCTTCATGAATCTTTTCACTAAAGCATGTTGACCAAATGTAATTGTGGGTCTGGCATATGGCAGATAGTGCACTGCGTGCAGAATTTATAGCAGAGTAAGATAGCCCTGAATGAAAAAGGTTAGTTAAAAATTGAATGATTGTGGTAATAGAGGGATTAAAAAATTCACATTTTGTAGCAACACAAAATTGACTCCATTTAGTTATATAAGTTGGTTATTGGGATTTTGTTCCCTTTCTCCAAGAGGACATGATTATCTCTGCTGAACTTGGAGAGACACCTATTGATGTAAGTTGTTGCCTGACACAAGACATATTTTCAACTCTAGCTTTTTTACTAGTGGATGCACTTCTGTTGGTGCAGCTGGTAGTTTGAGCAGGTTTTGCGACGGTGGACAAACATGTGGAGGTTGTAAAAGTATTCGTTCAATTAGAGGAAACCAAGGTTGTGTTGGCCAATTTGGTATAACCAAAGTGCCTGTGGCTTTTTCCTGTAGGATTTTTTGAACAGTTTGTAAGATGCAACTGAAAGGAGAAAAACAATAAAGATAGATGATTGCTCTTTGTGATTATTCAGGTTGATGAAACAACTGATGTTTCCACTAAAAAGTTATTAAGTATTATTCACATGAATAAAATGAGAAGTATCATCTAAAGACAGCTTGGATTTACAGCTGTCAGTTGCAATACAACTGCAATTGCCATTTCAGATGCATCATCTGTTAGTCACATAAGTGCCTCTGAGGTTTTTATGCTCATTCAACTTACCTATTGCCAATGCTGATATGGCATTCCCAGTTCTATTAAAAGTTCCATATACAAATCCAAGCTGCATTTCAATGCTACTTCATTTTTTCTTCATGCAAACAACCACACTTAATTTCTCTTTGTTGGAAACATCAGTTGTCCTATAAACCTAAATAAATACAAAAGTGAATCATCCATCACTTTTATAGTTTGATCGTCTAGTCAAGACAACCAATTAACTCCTTTTGCATATCTCGACTTTGCACATGTCGTTCATTGTGCTGCCTATAGCCTTAGAACCTAGACACGCTGACCAGTATAAAGAAGGGGTAAATAATATTCATTATATACACAATTTTGCATTCATGGGGTTAATCAGGGACAGCTTTCAACCCTGTTTTAGTTAGATATGTTAGATGTATATCCAAGTCGTGGATTTGGCTACCATTATGGTGTTAAATTTGGCGATAATTTTCATGCCTTAATGGCCATGCTATCAATGCGAATTTTTTTAAAATTTCCTTTGAACGTCTTTAAAAATGTATTTCTGTGATCGTAAGAAACCCTTGAGTTTTGCTTCTAAATTTGTTTATAGCAGTATTGTTTAACACTCTAAGTCAAAAATTGTTAATATGCTTGCAAGATGTTTGTGATGCAGTAGTAGATGCATATTTATTTCTGTGAAAACAAACTTTCATACGTGAATTTGAATTTTTTTTATTGATTTTGTTTGGCCTTGGTGTAACTCAATGCTAAAAGTTTATGTGTTGTGTTTTACAGTACGACAAGACAAGTCGAAAACTTCGTCAGACGAAGCGACAATTGGACGATACGTAAGAAGAACTGCAACAAGCGAACGCTTCGAAACGAAGATTTTAACGCAAAGTTGATGACTTGAACGAATCACAAGAAACTTTAAATCGTAAAATCTCTACGCTCAAGAGCCGTTTAAGGTGAATGGAATAACTAATCAATTTTTTTAAATCATTTCGAGGGAAAGAAATGTAATGTGATTAAGATGTTCAGAACATTTTAAGTGCCTTCCATTTGTTTCATAATTTGTACTTTTTGAAGATGGGTCGAAATAAAATTTCCTGGAGTAACCATGACGCAGTACAAGACAAATCAAAAACATTATTTCCTTTTCATTAATTAGCTCATTAGATGTTTAATGTTTGAATTTATAGCTTAGTTGATGAACTGGAGCTCTTATGAAATAATTAAATTTTTGTAATTTTCAAAAGATTGTCATTTTTAAAGTACAAATTTGTCTTTGTATCAGCAAATATTCGTCTTACAACATATTTTCTTGCATTTATTTTGTGTGTCCAACCTTGTCTAGAAAAGTTTCGTATCAGTAAAAGAAGTAATATAAGTTTATTTAAGGCCGCAATATCTATATCCACACTGGCATGAATGAAAAATGGAAATGATTGCTGGAAAAACAGATGTCTCGAAAATTTTTCTTTCCAAGTAAAATTTTCGTAAGTGGAACGGGCCTCACTATTAGCGTCTGTTCTTAATGGTTATGCGCATACTTTCTGAAAAACACTTTTTGTTTTGAATTTCTAAAGAATATAATTTCACCAATTGAGATGCCTCTAAGGGGATTAGAAATGTAAATATATGGCAAAATGTGCTGCAGTAATTTATTTTGACTAACACTAGATCCGCCACTGGTTTATTCAAGGAGAAATTTTTCAACTTTTTGTATTTAGTCCGGTGGAAAATTAGCAGTCAGCAATTAGGTCACGCTGTTAGAAACAATTAGCATAAAGTAATATGAATTGATTGAAAAGTATTCGAGATATACAAGTCTTATTTCCCGAATAAAAGTGACAAATTCGCCGTTAGTCGTTGTTTCAACAAATATTCGTCTTACAACATGTTTTCTTGCCTTTATTTTGTGTGTCCAACCTTATGTAGTAGCAGTTTCTTATCAGTAAAAGAAGTAATATACGTTTATTTAAGGCCGCAATATCTATATCCACACTGGCATGAATGAAAAATGGAAATGATTGCTGGAAAAACAGATGTCCCGAAAATTTTTCTTTCCAAGCAAAATTTCCATAAATAGAAACGGGCCCTCAATTTTGAAATTTGGAACATCAGTGCTGCGAATTTTTTAAGAAATGTAAAATATCACCCATGTTGGAACAAACGAGAAATAGGGTGCCAAGCTCAAGTGCATAGTACGAGAGTATTCAAGCGATTTCGAGTTTCTTTCAAACTTTCACAAGTGTTTCTATAGCTCTATAGGATCAAGAATATATGTTCTCCATTTCGTTTTTAGAATAGATTCTAGCATCCGACCAATCAGCGCCCGTATTTTAAGAGTTATTTTTTAAATGTTTATAAATAACATAGGCTGCATGGCCAATGATTATTTTGTCGATCTGTTCTCTCGTGTTCTTGCTCAAACTTATTGGCTCAAGAGCAACATGTATTACATGATTTTACCTTATTGCTTTGATGTCATACGAGTTTTGCATTTGATTAAAAAAAAAGATCGCAGTAAACATGCGTATTTTTATTTTGACATGCCGCCACAAAATAAAACAATACTAATGAAATACTGTATGTATGCATATTCCTTAAAAGGATTTCACATTCCGATCCTTTATTCGCCTCATAGATAGCCCTCTACATATTCAAACGTCACAATCGTAATGTTAATTCTGTTCATTTAAAGAACCAATAGTAATAGTTACATTAATTATATTTAACTAAATGCAGATAAGATCAACGGTCAAATGTTAATTCAAAGTTGCTAGAGGGGATATTCTGCTTTCAAAATATTACAGCAGTCGAAAGCTTGAACTTAAAATATATGTAGACTATCTGGAATTTTGCCTCAAACCTTAGTAAGGTATGTAGAACACTTTAACAATTTTATTTTAATTTTGAAGAGCAAGAATTTTGACATTAATGCTTTGAAAGTACAGTTAATTACTTGATTGCGTAGAAAGGATTGTTGACTTTATTTGCGTGATGGTAAGGCAGTGAAGTAACTATTTAGCGAGTGAAATAAGTATTTCAGCAATGAAATAACTATTTAGGGAGAAATACATGATCAAAAATGCACAAATACAGGCGTATGTTTTAATTCTTTACTCCATAAATTAAATTTGCCATTAACTCGGTAAAATTACTTGATTTCCTCGAAAGGATTGTAAAATTTATCTTAGTCATAGCAAACAAAGAATAACAATGCTGTCAAAGCAGTTTGCAGCCTTGAAATAATTAGTTATAATTAGCGAGAATTGCTCAAATCAGGTTCTTTTATCCATAATAACGCAGAGAGAATCAATGACTATTTGCTAACAAATAATCCAAACCACCCATGCAAAACGACAAAAAACGTTACGAATTCATACTTATTTTATGCGACCAAAACATCCGAAAGATAACGTTATCAATCTGCCCTTTGCTTGTCATATTCCAATTAAGTTTTATGCTGAAATATTTCTTCACCCTTTAAGATTTTCGGAAAGCTAAGAAATAACCGTTTCACAAGTATAAATGTATATACATATATATATGGGAGGATATTCCTGGATAAAAGAGCGCTAAATATTCTATATATTAGAAGAGCGTAAGATAAAATGAAATAAAATTGACAAGTTTGCTGTCGCTACTCGGAGTTTTACGCCGTAGGGCGATCTTCTGGCAACTGCTATGTACAAAGTGTATATACAATGTGCCCTCCCGGCTATCACTATAGTGTAATGGTGACTCATGTACATATATATTTATATATATGAAGGGAGTTTATAATTGATGATTCTCCGTATAAAAGAGTGCTTTCGTGATATATATGTATCGAGTAAATATATGTATACTATCTAATCAACGGCTTATTGTATTTTTTGAAGAATTTGATATTTCACTGTTCAAATACCTTTCTTGAATATTCTAATAATACTTGAGCAAAGTTAGCAAACATTTTTTCATTTACTAATAGTAATATCATACCTCTTTGTTATCTCTGCTAAATGCTTAAGGTAGTAGATACCCGCAAAATCAGGTTGTGAGACCTTATGTTCAATACCACATTACTTCAATTATATTGCTAGTGAAAGAATTAGGCTAGTACAAGTTTGAAGACAAGGTCTTAAGCTATATGTATCCAAGCTCATAGCTTAACAGGGGGGAGGGGTTTGCATGCACTATGTTCGCAAACAAGTTTCCATTGCTTGCTCCCCCCTGTTAAGCTATGAGTTTCCAATATGCAGTTTCATGCATATTGGAAACTCATAGCATGAAACTGCATATTGGAAACTCATAGCATGAAACTGCATATTGGAAACTCATAGCTTAACAGGGGGGAGCAAGCAATGGAAACTTGTTTGCGAACATAGTGCATTTTTAGGGCAGGTCAATCTCAAGAACCAAAAGTCATATCAACACCATTTTTTAACTGAATATGCAGGAAAGGGTGAAGAATGCAATGATATAATTTTTTATCAGTACAGTAGTGTTCTATTTTCCATGGTTATCAAAAACCATCGACAACCACCATGATTCATTATTTCTCAATCTTTACTTAATTCTACTCTACTCCTATCACATTTTAAAGTATTTCATTGCATTCTACACCTCAAAATACATATAAATGCCAATTTTCATGGAGATTGGATTGCTGGTTCTTCTAAGCGACCTGCCCCAAATCGCACAAGTCAAAATAACGACAAAAAAATATAGTGCAATATTTATAGATAATTTTTGGATAAAATACAATAAAATAATAGAATAAAGGGGAATAACATCAAAAATGAACAATTAATGTTCTTTAAAATAAATGTTTAGCTCCCAAAAGTACCACTTTCATACATAGTTCCTTCTTGTCTGTCATTTTGGTCAGTTCGCTTCTTCCTCTCACTCCTACAAATCTGACACCGAAGCCTTGCTTCATCTGTCATTTTCTTAGCAGCTGCATACAGTCTCTTTAGGTCAATTAAAGAAAAGCCAGTTTTGCTATGCTTTCCTACTTTAATATTCAATCCTCTTTGAATTGTTTCAAGTGTCTTAGCACCACCATTGAACAAGCAAACTGCTAACGAGCATGCTGTCCGCACTGTTTCTGGACCGCTAAAAACTTCCTTCGGACAGAAGTCCCAAACAAGGCAGACACCATACCATATAGAGATTGAAAACCTCTTCTTGCCCATGTACCATCACATGAAACTGCAATATCCAATGCTTCATGCTTGCCTACATTGCTTTTGGCTCGCACTTCTTTTGCTGCTTTTTTCATTTCATACTCAGCGACTTCCTGTGAAACACAGAAAATCGCCTTCACATGGGTGTTATAGGATATTTTTGCTGCTGGCCCTGGCATGTCCATAACAGCACAAAATTTAACCAAAGCTGATCTTCCCTTTCCAATTACTCTCATAGCCAAAGTAACTCGACGATTCACATCATAAAATCGACCTTTACCTTTGACCACTCATTGTGAGGTTGGGAGCTCAGTACAGGTATCACAAGAACAGTTAGAACATTGCAACAACATTGTTTTAGCCAATCCACATCCTCCAGGTTTTTCTAACAGCCGTAAACTACCTTTCAAACAGACTTTGCAAACGGCACATTTCAATATAATTTGACCCAGCATAGCTACGTCTTGAAAGCGATAACCAGTGGGAATTCGGGGTGCGGATGTTGTCGTATGGCTGGATGAGCTTTCATCCAGTCGGATTTTCTTCGCTGAAATACTGCTTTCACCATCGTCGTTATTTTCTTTCGGCTTTCTAGAACGTTTCCCTGATCTAACAGGTCTTCTTAAAGATCGATATTTAGTTCTAGGCATTGCCAGAAAACCTTCGGAAAGCTTTTGAATAACAATAACTGTAAAACCGTTGAACATGTACTGATCACGCTTGCTTGATGTACAAATTAGATACCAGGCTCTATATATGGTAGAACCCCAGCCCAGGCCCTAAGCTATTCACGTACACGCTTTCTAGCATTGTAACCATTGAGTTCTATAATAACTGGAGGGGAAACGTCAACAAAATTAGTATAAATTATTAGCGCGCGGCCGCGTGGTCAAAAACATGGCGGATTTTGGTGGTCAAAGTCAGCGGAGAGACGCGGGCTCATGAAATAAAATTTTTGTCGCCCACCCTGATTTGACCACCACAATTGCGAGTATAGAAAATATCAAAACTTTTTATTTTCCTAACATAAACACTTTTTTAAAATTTATTTATTAAATTGCCAACTTCTGTGGTTTGCGGACGCTGAAATAGCGACAGAAAAGGGAACATTTCTTGACTCCGGTAAGTAACACAGTATTTTACTATTTTGTTTTTAACACGATACTTGAAGAGTGTTTCTACTACTAAGTTTTAATTTAAAGTTATTTTGGTCCAGTCTTGTTTGTTCTTCACTTAATCGCTCGCCAGACGTGTCGAAGCTGTCAATTTTTATCGAGTTTTGCATCCATCTTGTATCATGATCAAGGCATCAAGCTAAACTCTCCTGATTTGAATTGAGTTTACCTCACAAAAATGGGGCATAATTTGTTCATGTTTTTTGAAAAGATGAAGGAAAGTTTACAACAGAGTTGTGTTGAAATTGAATGCAGTGCCATGCAAAATTAATGAGAACTATGGTATATGTTGTATAATAAAAATAACTATTAAACTGTTTGCATGCTCAATTTGACTGACTGTATAGTGTAGACAATTATAATGGGATTGGAAAGTTGGATTTATGCAAACAATTTTAAAGTACTACTTAGCGTTTCTGTAAATGAAATATTTATTGTTATAGTAAACAGGTTACTACTTCAAAACCTAGATAAAAGTAGTGTGTTGAACAATGTGCTAAGATTTGTTTCTACCTTGAAATTTTTGTTCAACAGTAGCTTATGATTATATCATTAATATGCATGAAAAATTAAACATATTATTGTCTCATCTCATCAAATGCATACTTGGTATAATTCCAGATGATCCACAAATTCACATCGGATGCATTGGTTACAATGAAGTTGAATGTAGAAGAAGCAAAAATAGATGGCAAAGAAATTCTTTGTGTCTTATGAAGAATTAGTAGAAATCAATAAAAAGAATTCTTTAAACAAATTGTAAACAAATTTAAATTTGCTCTTGGTCAAGCAACCTAGTCAAAGAAGCAAAGTCTGTCTTCAACATGTGACCTTTCCAATTATTTAGTTTCTTTGTACAAAATACTATTTTAGAGAAACTTGATTTGTAAGTCTTTCATTAATATTTTTTTACCAAGAGATAAAAGGAACTAATTCAAAGGCTTGATGTAAAATACAAAGATTTAACAAGTTGTTTATCATTTAATTCCCAAATGTTAGTTTGTACATATAAATAATTAGTATTGGTAGCTGTAAGTTGTTTAAGCAAAATAGAAGAGTAGTAGTGCTCGAAGGGGTTAGCAGTTTTGAAAAATTATATTTTGTTCATGACATATATTACACAATTCGAAAAAACTGTAAGTGATGCACAATAATATCTATAGAACTTGATAAATTTCTTCACCTACACTGTCAAATAACTATTTTGCCTTCATGCAGCAATAGACAGTGTTTTTGTCAGGGAAACCAATGCACTTTAGTTTCCAAGTTTGTAATTTCAATGGAAAATTAATGTAGTTCTGTTCAGTAATAGATCCAAGATTCTGCCAAGCTGTTTACAAAATACAAATTACCAAGCAACAGTGTCATGGTGTTTTGAATTTTTTCTTTTTGTAGCTCTTCTAGTTCAACATACTTTCTTTATGAGTTTTCAGTAGATTTATCAGGTAATGACAATACACTTATGATACTTAACCATGGTAAATTTTTAGTTGACTTATGTCGTAGGACTGAAGCAAACATTTTCTCGCTTCCTTAGGAGCATTTTTACACAGATTTATCCATTTGAAGCAAGAAAAATAGGTGCACCAAACTGTTTACAAACAGTCAAACACGCAAAAGCATGAAATAATGTATAAGTTTGACGAGATTGACAGGTCTAGTAAAGAATGCCGTTTGATTTTCACTTTTAAAAGGCTAAAATGTCATAAAATAACTTAAATGTTACATCCAAAATATGCGTTCCTCTACCGTCGATCTTCTTTATTTTGATGAGTGTCTGTACTGTGTTTTTCACGCAATGCTGAAACATTATTTTCACATGATATGCTGTCGGTATCGTAATTGTTTTGTTTTTCTCACTTGTTTTCGTTCATACAAACAGTATTAGAAATCAGGAGGGAGTGAATATTGAAAAAAGTTTTTAAAGTGGAAGTTTTGACCACCAAAATCCGCCATTACCGCCATGTTTTTGACCACGAGGCCCAGGCCCCTTTGCCCCTCCAGTTATTATAGAGCTCAATGATTGTAACCCTGTTTATTTAACGTAAAATGGGGAAAAAAACCAAATTTTCGAATTCGTTGCCATAGAAACGCCATGGACTTTAAAATACCGTCTTCAAAAAACATAGATTACTTTAGGAAGAACTTATTAACCTGGACGATCATCATTTACAAACATATAACGATACTCCCGGGTTCAAACCATTTACTTTAAAAGATTTATTATATGGCATTATTTGACCGGAAACAAAGCTTGCTTTCTTTCTCGTCTTTGCTGTTTTTTACGAATTGGCTTCACGTTTCTAGTTTTCGTCGGTAACAAATAAATCGATTCAAATTGCATCGTATGAATAGTTAAACTGTTTTCTGAGTGTTTTTCCTTCGACTCTCATTCGTAAATGGTTTTTTGTTTTGTTTTTCCAGCGTTCTGTTGCCTGCTTTACAATGTTTGTTTATATTTGACTGTAAAATTCCGCGTTTTGGATCGTGGTCCATTACGGAAAATATTGGACCGGCAAAATTGTTTCGGAACCAATGAAAGCGCGCCATTTTTCCAGAAATGACGCTTGCCAATATAAAATAGCTTAAATCTAAACTGCGTGATATTTTAATTTAGAAAGATGATGCATGTAAAGATACCTGCACTTGGCCGTCCATTTTACTTAGGAATGCTTTATGATCGTCGTTCTGAGAAGTTGATAATGGGGAAAACTTTATGGTCCCAAAAGCACTTAAATGAAGCTCTAATCATCAACCCCCAACCTTACGTAAATTCGGATATATTTATAGAAAATTCGATCGATGACAAAACTACAGCGCTTAGTGTTGAAGCAGGTCTTAAGCTTAGTTTTTTGTGTGGGTTGGTAAATGTAGAGGGTTCAGCAAAATACCTAATCGATGCAAAGACGTCAAAATAACAATCTCGTGTTGTGCTAAAATATGAAACAACAACAGAAGTAAAGCAGCTGTCCATGAATCATCTCGGTGATGGTAAAGCTGACTTTCCCGAAGTATTTAGCACTGATGATGCTACTGATGTGGTTGTTGGCCTATTATACGGAGCCAAGGCTTTTATTGTGTTTGACAGAGAACTTTCGAAGGATGAATCTTTGAAAGAAATAAATGGGAAAATAAAGGCTTTAGTGGAAACTCTACCACGTGCTGAAAATCGTGGTAATTGTCCCGTTAATATCACTGAAGAGCAAAAGAAAACCACCGAGAATATGAGATGCAAGATGTATGGGGATTTTCTTTTAAGCAAGGCTCCTGCCAACTTTGAGGAAGCTGTTAAAGTTTACCAAGAGTTACCGTCACTTATTGGCAAAAACGGAGAGAATGCAGTTCCGATTCAAGTATACCTATGCCCACTGAGTAGCATCGATACCAGGTGTAAAAAAATAGCAAGAGAGATAAGCGCAAATTTGGTAAACAAGACGTCTATATCACTTCAAAATTTTAAATTTGTGGAAGAAGAATGTAACGACCTTCTTCACAACGAAATCTGTTATCACTTTCCACAATTAAAGAAACAGATTGCTACCTTTCTTGAAAAGATTGAGCTCTACCGCAAAGATTATGGAAATAAAATATTATCAGTTCTTCCTAAAGTAAGAGGACGAGGAGGAGAAGAGCAAGAGCTTGCTCAGCTTATTGACAAAAAAGAAAACTCTCCTTTCTCCTCTAAAGCTATGCAAGAATGGTTAGATATAAAGAAGATGGAAGCAGAAAATTTGCAAACAATACTTAACATGCTTGATCAAACTACTTTCGTCAAACAGGAAAAGTTAAAAAATTACTTGTATGACACCAACATCAAGTTCATCATTTCTTTCACCCTCAAGATTTGTTGGGAAGAATATTGCCAACCCTTTGGCATAGATAAAACCCGTGCAGCTTTAGAAAATTTCAAAAATTTGAAGTTGTTTAACAAAGGAAGTGATGACTTGAAATTTCTAGTTACAGAAGAATCTTTACTTATTGGTAACCATAGTCAAACTGGTGCTTTCGTATCTTTGTATGTAGGTGGGGTTTTGGAAAATGAGGATTTTAGATCTAGTTCGAAGCCAAAAAATCTGAGAGTCCTTGAAAAAAGAGATAGCTCATTGAAAATTACTTGGGATGGGGACATAACAAACACAAACTTTGTTAAAAGTTATAAAATTTTCTATACCATTGACCAAAAATTCGAGGTGTGGTCACACATTGAAGAAGAATGGACAGATAAAAACACACCAACAGTAACTCTGTTAAATCTTCAACCAGCAACTACCTACCAAATAAAAGTTTGTGCTTTTAATAAAATTCAAATCAGTGAATGGAGTGAAGTTTTATATGTAACAACTACATTGTATCCTCTTGAAATTCACAGAATACTTCACTTTTGTGAACTTTTGGAGCCGTCAAACAATGGTGCAACTGCAGTGTTTGGTCTTCCTTTAAAGCTGGTTAAAAAAGATGAAGATAAAATGATTCGCAAGTATGAAGTGAATCTTAATAAAGAACAATATACTCAAAATGACGTGAGCAAACCACACAAAGTTATTTTAATGGTTTCTTTAAAGTGTCCTGGAAAAAATTCTCTTATAAATGCCATGGTCAATTACATATTGTGTGTAAAATGGGAGGACAAAGTCCACCTAAAACTCATCTATAACCAAATAGAAGACAGGAGAAAAGGTGAATTCTGTATTTATACTCTGCATCATGTGGAAGGCTTTAAGGTAATTATAGTGTGAATATCAGAGTAATTTATTCTTATCCTCCCCCTCCCCTAATTCATGAAACTCCTTATTAAAAGAACATATGCTAAACACGTATTCTGTTTGGTCGATTTCCGTGTTTGGGTGGCCATTAGATCTTGATTTCATGAAAATTTTAAAAATGCGCGAAAACAAAGACAGCTTTTCGTCTAAATTGACTTAAAATGCATTTCCGACCAAGTAAATCCAAGTTTTATTAAAGGTTGGTGATTGTTTTCATCTTTTAATGTGTATAACCTCACCGTGATTTTTAGTTTTTGTAATTATGATATCCTTGTTTACTAAATTTTACAGGTTCGTCGCTAGGGAGAAGTTAGCTTTCACATTCTCACTTGTTTTAAGAAAGCCCCAATACTACTTTGTAGTTGTTAAAGTAGTTATTGAACGGTTTCAAGTGTTTACGTAAATAGCCTGATCCAAACACTTAAGAGTTTTGCTCAAGTTATGAAAAGTTGTGCAAAATATTTGCCATCGGCTCGTATTTTGCACGTTTTTCTTAACTTTCCCAACACTAAAACAATTTAGTAATTGTTTAATGACGTGGTGTGCTTTTTAAATGTTTTAGGTTCCTTTTACCGTTACCATTGTAGACTTCATATGCGATGGTGATGGTGTTACACATTTACATTATGAGAATATTGTTGAATATTGCCAAAAATCACTGGGCTATCTTGATGCAATTTTTTGTTTTGTTGAAAATGTATTTCCGATGATCCATACCAACAAAATATTACAATCAGTTGCTATGGCATTTAACGAAATTGAGACTTCTCCTTCTGCGAACAAATCAATTGTAGAAGATATGAATTCCTACCTGGAAGTCCGCTATTGGAATGAGGTGGTTCGTGATTGTGAAAAAGGGACTTTATTTTCCAAATTAAAAAAAAGTTTTTTTATTTGGGATGACGTTGTTGAAGAGGACAACAGCTACGATGCTATTTTTTGGAATATGGAAATGAATAGTTTGAAAAAATTCTTTGAGCGTATTAATGATGCGAATGCAACGAATTTGTCTAAAGTGTTCATAATTCGAGGTTAAGGAAGTATCTCTCTAATTTAAAACCATTATTCCATGTGAAAAATACAAAAAATTATAATATCGAAGAAACATGCGTGCATTTCTAATTAGTTCAGGCAGCAATCATTAAACTCCTTTGTTCGACAATATCAAGGAAAGTTTTGTAGCTACGTAAACATTAACATAGTCATTTTAGACAGATATTTTTTGTAATTTTTTAGTAACTTATATGCATTAAGCAAACGATCTTGTAGCTAATTTTAATATAACGAATCCAAAATTTAAAAAAATTTTTGGAGAAATTAGTATCAAAAAGTATGTGCTGATAAGTGTAACAACAAATTTATTTTTGGGCGAAGGGTGAAGTCGACGAGTAGCTATCATGTCTCCTATTCTTATAAAGGGCATATGACTTAAAAATTTTACTACTTAAATTATAGGTTCATTTAACAGAACTTTGAAAATGACAGTGTATTTTCTAAAACAGTATGTGCATATCTATTTCCATTCTCGAAATATTGAAGTTTTTGTAATGTCCGATCTATACAACTTACTTAGCATAATGAGTCCCTGCAAAGTTTCCAACATCTTTTACATTCAAGTCAACTTTTGATTGAAATGATCATGCAATTATTTATACCATTAACTCTTCACAATTAAGGAACTCTGCTCGATTGAGGTAATTTAGCGGCAAATATACATGCTATTTCAAATTCTCATTATGCAAAATGAAGTAGAAATTTGTATAGATCGGACATTTTGAGAATGGAAATAGATATGCACATACTGTTTTAGAAAATGCACTGCCCTTCTCAAAGTTCTGTTAAATGAAACTATAATTTAAGCAGTAAAATTTTAAGTCATATGCCCTCTACGTTTTAAGGACTCTGTAGCTCTCAAATACTCTATAAAGTCCTGTAAAAACGCAGCACTTGGAGAAAATTATGAAATCTTTATTATTTAGTTGTACTTTAGTGCAATATACTAAGTGTCTCTTACACTTAGTGCTGCAAAAGAATCGAAATAGAAAAATGAATATGTTACACAAACCGAAGAGCTTAACAAGTAACTAAAACGATTGACAGTGCTCAGTGCAAGCTATGTACACTACTACAATGTCAGTAAGACTAAAGCGATCTGTCTGAGTTTTTGCGTTTGTATTATCACTGTTATGCTCGGTTGTACTCTTTAAACAGTTAAGAATGGGACTATGTCGGTGGCAAAGTTGAATGAGAGTAAAGAAATTCACAAGTTTTACTTAGAGAGATCATATCTTCATTTAATTTCATTTAATTAGAGAGATTTTACATAATATAAATCCTAACACGGTTTATTTTACATGCACATGAAACTAAACTGGAACCTTTTAAAAAGAACCTAAAGACTAATTTGTGTTAAATTTATTCAATTATTTATTTTCTTATTTTCATTAATTCTGTACATATTTTTAATTAGTATACATTTTTTGTTTATTGCGGATTGAATGTGAAGCGCCACTGAACTTTTCGATTTTGGTGCTATACAAATTATTTATTATTATTATTATTATTAAAAACATGTGACTTCTACGAGATTTAAACTCGAAAAATAAACCTGCTTATATGCTCATGTGCATGTAAAATAAACCGTGTTAGGATTGATATTATGTATAATCTCTCTGATGATGGCTTTGGAATAAAGTCGAAACACGGTGCCATCCAGTAACTGCTATCGTGGCGAGAGCTTCTCGTTCATAAGTAGTTTTAAGAGATTTGACTCGTCTCCAATCCCTGTGGACTTGGTAGCTCAACAGGTAGAGCGGCAGACTAGTATTCCGAAGGTGCGAGTTCAAATCTCCTTCAAGTCACTTGTTTTTCATCTGCATGTAAAATAAACCGTGTTAGGATTGATATTATGTATAAGTTTTACTAAATTAACAAAAACTGACGTGTTCATGATTTCACAAAAATCATGATAATTCAATTGTATCTATAATAAGGATTCGTTCTTAGCACACCTTTACTTTTGCTTTTTTACGGTGTTCATACAATCTAAAGCATTGACAACAGTTATCCTTACAGGTGGGTTGCATGCTACGTCATGACCGCCTTATTGGTGGTTAAACACAAAAGAATATTTTATCAATGCTATTGTTTGCACCAGCTGACGTGGGTAGGTCAAATTCTTTGATAATTCCATGGAGGTTGATTGCAATCCAAGAATTGGTAATTTGAAATTAAGTCAGTTTTTACTTCGTTCTTTGAGGTCCTTTACTTAGTTGAAAATATAAATAGCATTGCGAATAAGGATTATTACATTTTAGTAACGTTAAGTTTTATTTTTAAGGAGACTAAGCCACCCAATTATGAAATTTCTGGGGCTAAAGCCGAAATAGTTCTCCCGCTTCCTACGCCTTTGGTATTGTACGTGTATTTCTTTCAAAGATGGGGTGCCCCCCTTTGCTCCAAAATCTGACAACATCGACATTTTGCTTAAAAATGTTAGTAGAACACAATGTCAGCTGGCTTTTAATTTATATACAGAAAAATACCGAATGGTGCTTTCAATTTACTACTAGGAACAAGAATTCACAAAGAGTCTTCAATGAGAAATATCCAGTGCTTCCGTTTGCACAATATAAACCTACTTTTCATCATTATTTTTAGAAATAGCACCGTTTGGTGTGCCCCTTTGCAAGCTGATTGCCTGGGTGTCCGTAGCTTTGCCCACCAATAGCTAAAAGCAATATACGCTACTGCATCATAGTATTGCGAATTACTTTTAAGAAATGGTAAACATTTTCTGTGTTTCCATAGATTTATGGAAACATGCAAAAACTTTTAGGAGAAAAATGAGATCGCGTGGCAAGCACGAGCACGAGCAAAAGCAACAAGTCTTTTTAAACAAGTTTTTCCTGATCTTTCACATGTGTTTCTATAATGCAATAGAAAAAAATAAAGATGATTTCTTTTTCTATTTTCAAATAGCCTTTTGAAAGCAACATTAAATACACAAATTTATTTATTATTATTGAGTACACATTGTTAAAAGGCTTTGCTTTAAAATGTTTTGCACAAACCATGCAATTTGCAAGACTTTGGCAGAGAGAATTGTACTGGTGGTCGATTGAAAATGTTTTAATTTGATTGGCTACTCAATATTCCCTATTCAATGTTCAATATAAATGGGGAGTAGCGAAAAAACATTCCTGGAAACAGGGCCGCCTCCGTACGACAACAAACTTGATTGTTTACTTTAAAAAGCAATCCTGGAGAACACTTAAGTTGCCACTAAACAGAATCGCAACATATTTTAAGGTATGATAAACAAAAATTCAATTATAATACCGAAACATGCTTTAAATCCGGTCTTTAATGCAAACGATGTCTGGAACAAATAAACATATTAGTTATCTAGCAACCCTTTTCATTTTTATTAAAATACTAGTATGACTGTACTAAAATAATTAGATTACTTTCTCTCGATTTCCGTGATAAGATAGATGATTCGGGCCTACGGTTCGTTTTATCAATTTAAATAACACAGGCTGCAAAAACAATCTTTATTTTCTCGACTGATTCCCTTATATTTTTTCTTTAATCTTGGTTTATCTATATTATACAATTTTTTTGAGCTACTTTGATGTCACACAACTTTCGCTGTTTATGAAAGAACAAAAATCGTAGTAAGCATGTCAATTTTGATTTTAACATGTCGCCATGTCTTCAAATAAAACATATTAATAGATGTTTACATATTTCCTACAGGGTTTGGCTTTTCTCAATTCAGATATTCCCATTCCTTCATTTCATTCTCTAATTCCCATTCCTTGTTTTACAGGCAACCCTAAACAACCACGCTATCACGTGTACATACGTCACAACTGTGATGTTAATTCTGCTCTTTCAAAAAACAAATGTTAATTATTGCTTTCATTAGCAAAATTTGAGAAGCGTTATTTTTTTCCTTGTCATTTATGCAGGGCTAGAAATCAACAATAAATCCTCATTGAGTATAAATAAGTACCGCTCTTCATTACATTTAAATTGTATGAACTAATTTTATTTAAAAAATATAAACAATAAAAAGCGTGCCGTTACTGATCTAGAGTGATGTTTGCATAATCAATTAGCATGTGCAAACCGATCTAGGCTTAACTCTCGGCGTAACCAATTAAGTCAATCAATCAATCAAAGACAATTTCCAAATCAATCTTGTTTCAAATTCTTTATTCAAAAAAGGTGGGGAAACTTTTTTGGAAAACCAAGATAGTCATAGAACTGTAATATCTTTTAATTTCACTCTTAAATATCAATAGTAACCTCCTTACATGCTATCGTTTTTTTCTATCTATTTTCTCACTCGTTCTCATTATTAAAAAGAGTTCCTGTCACCTGTCCAATTCTTATCAATCATAACACAAATTCAACTATTAAAGTATCTTTTTACTACATCACTCCGCGTTTACAAAAAAATGTCTATCTCCACGATAATGCTTTTCCATATCTTTGCGGCGCTTTTCTGTTTCTCGTTGACCTTCTATTTGTGTTTGTTGAAAAATCCGTATGGAGTGTACTTTGTGCATTGTTCGTTCCTATTGAATTCGTTGTAGAATTTCTCGGTATTTCCGCATTTTGTGCCACTTCCACAGGATATTTGTCATCGCCAATATCGGTGTCCATTTCATCATTCTTCACGGGGATTCCTTTAAAATGTAATATATTTTTACAACTTTGTGACCATCATTTTTTCTTGCTGTGATTTGTGATTTGTTCCTTGCAATCATAAAATATGGTGTCGTGTAAAAATTTGTGTTCAGTTTGTTTTGCCTTTTTTGCTTAACAAGCACACAATCATCCACAATAATATCTTGATGTTTTGCCTTACGTCTGCTGTCCGCATATTGCTTGTTATACGCTTGACCAGACTGGTCATTTTCATGTGCTTGTTTATGCTTGTTTACGATGTTACGTTTGTGAAGTATTGGTAACTTGCCTTTCACCACCCGATTGAATATCAACTCAGGCGGTGGAACTTTGGTGGTTGAATGTGGTGCTGTTTTGTATTGCAGTAAAAATCTGATTACTTCCTGCCTCCACGGTCTTCTTTCGGCTTGAGGTGTTTTCAAAGCTTTCCCCATGCGTTGCATGAATCGTTCAGCATCGCTGTTGCCTTGTAGCCAATATGGTGTCGAGTATAACGCTTTAATGCCTAACGTTTTAAGACATCGTTGGTATTCTTCCTCGTTAAAAAGGGACCATTTTCCGTTTTTAATGTCTCTGTAATTCCGTGTGTTGTGAATATATTATGTAGAATAACCGCTGCAGCTTTTCTTGATGGCACTATTTCTACTTCGGGGTACCTGGAGTATCTGTCAATCACGACCAGCACATACTCCCCAGAAGGTAAGGAACCGTAAAAATCAGCATGAATAGTTTCTCACGGGCCTTTGGGCATATTTGTCGCATTCATTGGTTCGGGTGGTTGTGATTTTCCCACTGCTTGACATGGAACGCATTTCTCCAAGGTTTCTTTTACCAATTGATCCATATTAGGGAACCATACCTTTTCTCTAAGGAGTGCTTTAGTTTTGGTTAGTCACAAATGACAATCATATGTGATATCAACAGCTTTCTGCGTTAGACTTTTTGGGATGACAATTCTTTTACTCTTAGTATTACGCCTTTTGTTGTAACGGACAGCTCGTCTTTGATTTACTTGAATTGTTTAACTATATCAGAGTCCCACTCGTTCAATTTAACTGAAGCACGAACGCCGTTTAAGACTTGATCTTCATCAGTCGCTTTTACGATTTCTTCAATTGTCATCGCTTTTGAAACGTCGTTAAAAGCAATGAAGTTTAAATATTCTTCGGTCATTTGCGGTTTGTGGTTCATTAAGACCGGATGTCTGGATAGATAATGAGCAGGGTTAGTACTTCCTGGTTTATAAACAATTTTAAATAAGTATGGTTGAAGTCTGAGAACCCAACGCTTAACACGGGCAGATGACTTCGCAATCCGATTGTTATAGATAACCTCGAGAGGCTTATCATCTGTTATTAAAGTAAACTCTTTACTACATACAAATAAATGAAAATGTTCTACTCCCCCAGACGATTGCGAGAGCTTCACGCTCTGTTTGAGCATATCGTTTTTCAACGTCAGTCAGAGCACAACTTGCATAAGCTACAACTTTTTCATCATTCTTGCCAGCTGTTGCTTGGGAAGAATAGGAAATTAGCCTACAGGACATGCTTTTATTTAGAAAAGTACATTTTGATTGATTAAGTCGCAATCCTTTGTCATAAATCCGTTGCAAACATTTGTCAAGATTCTCATCGTGTTCTTCTCTTGTTCTGCCATAAACAATGATATCATCGGCGATCATTTTAACGCCTGGTAAACTACGTAGTTGTTCCTGTAGTGTGAACTGAAAAATCTCAGCCGCTGCGTTTGTTCCATAACTTAAACGTTGATATCTAAATAATCTCTTACGCGCAGTGAAAGTGGTAATATAGCGACCATTTTCTTTTAACTCAAATTGGTGATATGCCTGAGAGAGATCTAATTTCGAAAATCATTTTGCACCATTTAATTCAAGTCGGATGTCATCCACTGTTCGTATTGGGTGTCTGAGTCTGTTTATTGCTGCATTTCTTGTTTCATGTGTACACAGAGACCTACTCCTCTGTCCTTTTTAGGCACAACGACAATATGTGAAATCCATGGAGTCGCTTGGGTTTCTGGTACTTGCTCGATAATGTCACTACGTTTTAACTATTTTAATTCAAATGAGACTTTCTCACGTACATGGAAGGGAATACGCCTTTGTTGCTGAACTTTAGGTGCGTGTGATTCATTGTTTAATTTTGTCTGTTGTCCAGTCAGCTTACCCAAACCACGAAAAACTTCTTCATGTTTTTTAAGAATGTGATTCATTTTCCCTTCACAAGTAAGTTTTTTAAGATGCCGATAAAAGATTGCCACTATCTGAAACTATTAGCCACGTAAAACGTTGCTACGGTAACGCGCATGCGTGTTTCTACTAATGCTTCGAATTTCCCGTTAAAGTTGACGGGCTTGTCAGCTCTATATGCAAAAGCTTGTATGCTTGTTTTCCGGAGAAGTATATCGTTCAATTTCTCAAATGTGGACTTATCTACAACGTTGAATGTTGCACCAGTATCAATTGTCGCATTGAAAGAAGATTTGCATGTCGTATGACGAACGCTCGGGGTTTTATTCTTGCTCACAGCATATTTGTATTCCTCTCTTTCAATACTGCTGTCTGATTGATTGCCGTCGTCAATGGGTTTTAGTGGGCTTAAGGGTCGTTTGCTGGAAGTATTATCGTGTTTATGTTGATAATTACATTTTCGCGTCAATTCAGATTGGATGGTGGCCAACGTGTCGTTATTTTTGTCCTTTGACTCGATATACCGTGCTTGATAAGTGCTTTGCTCATCTCTTCGGCCGTCCAGCAAAATATCCGTGAGTATATACTCGGGATCTCTTAGTGCTTTCTTTCGTATCCGCGAAGAAGATCCCGCCATGATTATCTGTTGTTCCACTTCAAAGTCAACGTCATCAAAACACATGTTTGAGCTAATTTCCTCAATCGCGTATGAAATTCGTCTAATGTTTCTGATTGTTTTTTTTTGGCTTCGCAAAATTTGTACACATCATATCGCCGATTTTTTTATGGCTCAAAATATTCCGTTAATTTGGTTTTAGCAAGTTCATCTTCGCTGTCGTTGCCTGTATCTTTGAGCTGTCGAAATATTTCTCAAGCCATGTACTCCATCGAGTTGCCAAGCTTGCACCAACTTGAATATCTGCGTTAAATTCCGCTATCGGTTGTACATAAAGTGATGACTGCATAGTACTGTGTACAGTGGCGTCTGCTTCCGCCATCCTCGTCGCCAATGTAATATCTTTTAATTTTGCTTTTAAATATCAATAGTAACCTCCTTACATGCTATCGCTTTTTTCTATCTATTTTCTCACTCGTTCTCATCCCTAAAAATAGTTCCTGTCACCTGTCCAATTCTTATCAATCATAACTATAAATTAGACTATTGCAGTATCTGTTTGCTACAAACAGCAATGACTCAAATAAACAATCCGCCTTACAAAATATTCATCAAGATATCTCAGCGTTCCTTCGTAGTTTGTGTTACAAAATCGGCTTTTGTGAGTTGTGATTTATGTTTTCAGTCACCGGTAAAACGCGATAAAAGAAACTAACCCTCTTTAATATATATTTATTCAGTTATTTAAAATACGAAGCCTATGTTTTTTATTTTAATGTTTTTCCCGGCATTTCTTTTAAATAAGGGAGAACAAAGTTAGGAACGAGGGGGACATATTTCCTAGGAATTGTGGCCCTTGAGGTATATTTCTTGTGACACCGGCCACTTTGCTCTGACATGCCTGTTGCAACTTTTTAACATCAACTCTTCAATCATAACTTCTCTCGTCACTTTGAATAATCATCTTTTGACGGTAGATTTAACCTGCAGTGTTCATGGCCACCATGGGTGCTAATACAACGTTAATTGAGGAGGTCCATATTTACATACAGTATATTCTGTTATATCAGGATTAATTCTTTTAAAAGAGCAATTGTTTTGAAATGAAATTAGCCAGATACTGCAGAATATATGAAGTGATTGTCCCACAATTAACGTATAGGATTGACGCACGGTACGTGGCGTCAATATAACACAACGTCTTCATTGAATCGTTTCCACAGATCGTTTTGCTTTTAAGTGTCACTACGACTCTGTCCACACTATTGCATTTTCGTTTCAAAACGAATACTTTTGTAAGTGCGTTTTGGCCTTCCGTCCACATTAAAATGCTCGAAAAAGGATACTAATGGCGTAAGAGAATCGTTAATTGAGGGGACAACATATTCTTATATTTATGTTCTGCCGCATTGATCTCCTTAGAAATCCAGTGCTTAGAACGGATTAAGACTTGTATACGTGAATTTGTGCCCCCCTCCCAATTCACGATTTTGGTACGCCACTGAAGGATACACTGCCAAATGAAAACGCATTGATTCGAAAACGCTCTCGAAAGAGGAGCCATTTGAAAAAACATGCATTTTGTTTTAATGTGGACGGTCAAAAATTGAGCTTTAAAAACGATGACGTCAATGACTTCTTGAAATGGTGCTTGATGTCACAATAACCGAGGGCACTTTATGTATTAGCATGCGCAGTTAAAAATATTACACATTCATCGTTTTCGAGTGTTTTAGTGTGGACAGTGTGGACCTATATTCTCATAAGAGAGAATATACGTACGTAATATTAATGTTATAATAAAACGTAATTGTCATTAGATCAAATTGCTTTTAGTTTTAGTTTTGGATATATGGCAACTAAGGCCTGACTAAACTTGCTATATTTTGTTTCTCTTTATCACATAAACTGCACAATTTTATTAGCCAATTCTTACAGCAGATCTACAACAATCACCAAATGAAATGCCATTAAATAAAGATGTTGTCGACAAATGCTAGACAATATAGCACTCAAAGTCGCGAACATGTCCAACCTCTGAAAAGAGTATAGCCCGAAGTAACGTCTTAATAAAAGCAGTTCCTTTCAATTAACAAACATTTCTGGCAATATTTGCATTTTTGTCTTGCCCTCTCTGCTTTTAACTTGGGTTGTTACATATATACGTGCACTATACATACCAATAGTGCAAAATGCTTTTTAAAATCAAAATGGCTGTAATGCACAAACACTTAATAGTTTAATTTTTTACTTGAGAAGTATGATGCCAGACGAGATATCTGCACTTGGCCGCCCATTTAAGTTCGGAATGATTTATGATCGTCGTTCTGAGAAATTGGTTTTTAAAAAGACTTTATGGTCATATCAACACTTGAATAAAGCTGTAACCACCGATCGTCAACCTTATACAAATTCGGACGTCTTCGTAGAAAGTTCTATTGATGATAAAATAAATGCGCTAAACATAGAAGCAGTCTTAAAGTTAGTTTTCTGACAGGGTTTGTAAACGTAGAAGGTTCTGCAAAATAGTTGAAAGATTCAAAGACGTCTAAGCGACAGTCCCGTGTGGTTTTAAAGTATGAAACTACAACAGAAATAAAGCAGCTGTCCATGAATCATCTCGGTGATGGCAAAGCTGACTATCCCGAAGTATTTAACAATGATGATGCAACTGATGCTGTGGTTGGCATATTGTACGGAGCCAAGGCTTTCATTGTGTTGGACAAAGAACTTTCGAAGAATGAATCTGTAAATGAAGTAAATGGGAAAATGAAGGTTGTAGTAGAATCTCTACCAGGAGTACAAATTGGTGGTCATGGCTTAGTTAATATCACAGAAGAACAGAAGAAAAACACAGAGCGTTTGAGATGCAAGATATATGGAGACTTTTGTTTAAGCAAGAGTCCAACCAACTTGAGGAAGCTGTTAAAGTTTACCAAGAGTTCCCGCCACTTATTGGCCAGAAAAAGAAAATGCATTTCCATTTATAGTATACTTACATGTCCACTGAGTAAGATTGATAGTAGATATAAGAAAATGGCAAGAGAGATAAGTGCAAATTTGGTAACCAAGATGTCTGCTTTGCTTCAAAATATGCAATTTCTGGAAGGAGAATGTAGCAATCTTCTCCATAACAATATTTTTTGCCAGTTTCCACACGTAAGGAAGAGGATTACAGATTTTTTGTAAAAGTGAAGCACTACCAAATAGATTATGAAGAAAAATTATTGTTAATCCTTTCTGAAGAATTAGGAGGAATACGAGAAGAGCAAGAGCTTGCTCAGCTTATTGACAAAAAGAATGCTCTTTATTTGCAAATATTCAGATGGAAACAGAAGTATATTTCCTTTGTCTGGATCAAACTAAGTTGCTTGTGCGCTGACAATTCGACTGGCTTTGCTAGAGTCTCTCAGATGGTGAATTAGTGACATACTGCGAATCATTTTCCTTTTTTTGAATATGCTTTTACACAGCATCTTGGTACCCTCAAAGTAGGCCTTCAAATGAAACGCGCTCTGATTTATTCAGCGTTTGTCACAATAATAGAATATAAATATTCTAATCTTCGTCCACTGAATCATCTGAAGTGAGATATATTGAACGAGCTGTAAGACCAGTGCTTAATAAGGCGTGAAGTTTTCATGAATTTTTTTATTCATGTGTGTTTGAAAAAACTTTGTATGACTTTTTAATATTTACAAACACCAACTTAATGCCAAAAATGTTGATGTTTGTATCGAAAATTTAAAAACACCAGCAGTGGATCCAGCAAGGATATTTTATTATTGGGTACTTGGCTAAGTGATCAGCTAAAGTTCAGCGATTAGAAACCAATTTGACCTTCTAATTATTAAAACTGGATACTACTTCCTGTTTTGGTCAACAAATTAAATATCATTAACGCCTTTTTATTCAAAATACATATATGTAATTAACAGTCAATTAACTTTAATGATATTGTCAACAAAGGATTTTTCTATCAAAAGAATGGATTTGATTTAATTTTTGTTTGCAATCTGCACCCCTCTATGCACCTCCAGTTGACCCATTGTCTGCAACGGTAAAGACACCTGTGCACCTCCGACCCTGTAAATACACCACTGCAAAAACTGATAATTTTCTACACAAAACAGGCTGCCAAATCCCTCAGGCAGCCTAAAACTCATCCCCTTCCCAATTTTTAGAGGGGGCGCATCCTCCCAACGCCAATGTGTTTGGGTGCCTAAACATCACGCCTCAAAAAGTAACGTATTGTTTCCAATCTTCCTGCAAAACTTCGTTGTAGTAATACGGTTCAAAACTCACATTCGTGATATGTTGCTATTTTCACTGTGTAAGTGAAAATAATAAACATACTGGCGCACAAGAAAACTTCGTACTTCACTAAAAAATTGTGGTTTTATCATACGTCTATACGCCATGTTTATAGAAATAAAAAATGCATGTCTTTATACAAATACTTTCCCAGTTTCCTTGAATATTTTGCCCGAATTTCACAGTTTTCATTATTTTTCACCCCCTAGTTCTTGTGTCAGGAAAACTTCTCAAATATTACGTGCCATTTGAAAGTAAAACATCAGAAAGTCGTATCTGAAAACCGCATAACATGTGCAAACCATGTGGATTACTTTAAAATACTGGTTAAATAACTGTTTGTCACTGTTTCTCTCAGTTTTTTGAAGATTGCACTAATTATCCTACCAAGGCTACCCCCAGGATAGCTTCCGATATGGCTATGTTGCTATGTACTTTGTAGAGTGACTTCTTTATGGGCCCAGTATACCGAAAATTATGCTATAAAAACTATAGTTTCATTGAAAAGAATTGGCAAAATGACAATTTCTCAAGATAAAGAAGTTTTTAATGTCCGAATAGTAGAGAAAGTAACATCACATCGCACAATAAGTTGCTGCAACTTTATAAATATCCTTTAGTTGCTTGCCTTTAGATGAAAGACCTGTACAGAATTTTATGGCAATAGCACTTTACAACTACTGGAACTCCGTCCGGTAGACGTAACAAAAAAGCAAGTAACCTGGGTCATTTAAATTCCTATGCATTATGACGTCGCTATCTCTGTAAATTGGAATTCACAAAACTTAAATATTTTGAGATATGCAAAGAGATATGTCTAAAGTTCACTGTCATTTTAATTTCAAATCTTTCGGTGTTCTGACCCTTTGAAGAATGTATGACAACCAAGATGCATTGCGCGCTTTTGTTTATGTTAACTAAGTAGGCGGTTGGAGCCACCCTCTCTTCAAACATATTTCTCATAATTTTTTTGTGAATATTTCTTGTTTCTCATACATTGTAATTACAAATTATTTTATTTGTCTGCAATTTTTGTTAAAAAAAATGATTAGTTTATTTGTCAGCAATTTTTCATAAAAGAGCTACTAGGGCTTGTAATAGTTGTTGCTGTTGTTGAACCAGTAACATTTGATTTGCTTGAATTTGCTGGTTTTGTTGCCTTTGCAATTCATACATGTTTTGCAGCAACTGATTTTGTTTCTCCATGAATTGCTGTTGACTTTCTTTCTCATTCTGTAATTGCAGCCTTGGCATTTCTATTTTCTCTCTTTCCAATTTTAAGCTGTCCTCTCTTAATTTTCTTTTTTCTCTTAGAAACTCTAATGTAGAATCTCCTCCTTTCCTAACTTTTTTTCTAGCACCACCTTGCTCGCTTTCATTTTGCTTCCTGGTTTCGGATAGGTTTTCCATAGCCCTTCCCCTTACCTCCTCTGCTGCTTCTTTGTCTGCATTATTTTTTCTTCTTTCTGCAGCTGTAGCTTCAGCAGCAACAACATCACTAGCTTTTTCTCTAGCATGAATTTCTTCAAGTAAATCATCCAGCTCAGTTGCTTCTGGAGAAATGCCACTTGCACTTATTTCTTCTCTTTCTTTCTTGCAATAGTTTGCAAGCAATTTTCGCACTCTGTCTCTTACTGCACTCTGGTCAACAGGAAAGCAAAGGTGGTCATGTTTCTCTAACTTCTTAGCAACGGCTTCCCACACCTTTCCTCTTTCAAGGGATTTTTTTCTTGTTTCAACAATTCTTGATACAACAACTTCTTTACACAGTTCGACACCATGCTTTGCTGTCCACTTCATAACAAAACCGATTCTAAAACAATTTAGGAATATATAGTGGCCAAAATTGATATACCATACCTGTTGCATAGTATTTTTATGCAAACATAAAAGGGGAACACAAACGTTATTACAAAGTAACACAAATTTCAAAGCCACTGGATGTTAATTTAGCTAAACAATTAATTTAACTCACGATGAATTTCGTAGTGTACTTGATGAGCAATCACTTGATGCTGATGAAAACTGTTCTGCCATTTTCTTGCCTTGCTGAAAGCAAAAATGTAAATATATTATAAATATCAACACATCAATCACATACCAGATTCCGCAGACAATTGTAACAGGTGAATTAAAAGCTGAAATACTTACTTTAAAACTTTTTTTGTGAAAAATTCCACCTTCGATGTAGGACGACGTGGGATTAAGCAAAGACGCCGCGTTGTAGAAGCAAGACAAAACTCAACGACGCACGCACATGCGCATTGCTTTAAAGTTCAATTCTGCTCGCGTTGTAGATGAGAGCGTCGTTAAATCTTAAGGTCACTTTTATGAGATTTTCTACACAATCCGAGAGCGCTTACACTGCGCAAGCGCAGCTAGCGTAATATATATATATATGAATTACGGGAGGGCACATTGTTATACACTTTGTATAAAGGAAGTATATATACAAAGTGTATATATAATGTGCCCTCCCGGCTATCATCATATTTAGAAGGTTTACCAGTTAAAGGGGTGATGCCAAAATGCTCTGAAATTCGAGTGTGTAGGTGGAGGGTGGTTGACCCACGTACGATGCGGAGCAGTATCGTTACTTAAAAGAATAGACAACATTCGATTTCAGAGTTTTGGGCACTTTGTCTTTGAAAGGAAACAGGCTGGAGAGGCGTTTTGTGGATTGAAAGAAGAATCGTATTTCACAGTGTGGGAAAGCGGCACGACAAAGGCGATTGATTTGTGTGCGGATTTGGGATGAGTGTAGACCAGTAAATGGAAAGCCGAAATACAGTAATTTCTTGGGTACGGTATGAACAGGTGGTTTGGGTTGAAAGACTGTCAAGAAACATTTTTACACAGTGATCAAATATGTGACATGGAAATGAATTGGGTCAAACCGCCAAATATTTACTAACACGTTTTCATCCCACCATGTGGGGACAAGTAACAAGGCTTCACGTGCCGTCTCTGATTTCGACTGATTGCTACAACACGCGCAACACTTCCAAACTTCCAGCCCGAGTTTGGATCGCCCCTTGGCGCGAAAAGATATGATGATGATGATGATCCCACCATGTAATTTAATATTATGTAAATAGCTATTATATATATATATCCCTCTATACTTGTAATTCAATATTGTCTGATGATGTCTTGAGAGTCAAGAAACGTTACACTTTTAAATAGATATTTCTTCTTATGCATTTAATGGCTCTTTTAAAAGCCTTTTGCTGGGCTTTGATACTTAAGTTCGTTTTAAATCCCTTCTTTTCGACGGTGTATAGCATTCATAGTATATATATGCGTGCCATCTCATAATTTTGTTCTTCCTATGTCCCATAATGTCAAGAACAGTACTGAGTCGCATAACTCGGTCAATGAGCAGCGGCGTGGCCAACTTGCTTGCTAACTGTGTGCTCACAGCTCACTCACAGTAAAAATTGATTCTAAAGAAACCAATTTTGATTGTTGCTTTAAAATTTAACTAATAAAAAAATAATTAGCTGGCTGCACCACTTTGAAAAAGGGTTAACAAAATGACCTTTAATAAAGTAAGTCCTACACCAAGTACGGCTACAGTAATTATTCTCCTGTTTTGTGGGCTCATAGATCAACAAAAGAAGGCCTGGCCGCTTTGTTCATTCTCTTTCACCGTCTTTTTACATCGTCGTAGTTCAATTGCAGGTGAGTTTCAATCCATTATAATCATTCCCTTGATTAATTTTTTTATCAACCTTTATCATTCGAAACTAGACAACAGGTTCTTATTTTAGGTGGCATAGGTTTTGAATTAATTTCTCCTTTCATTTTAGGCCAACTTCTTTGTGGCTGCCAACAAAATGGTAAGTAATGTTTTCACTCCTCTACAAGTTTGCCATTATTATTTGTTGACCCTGTCTTCTTTTCACCGAAGCCTAAAGAAATTCACGAGATCAAAGACTTCTTGCTCACAGCTCGAAGAAAAGATGCAAAATGTAAGACTTTTTTATGGAATTATTGTGATTGTTGTATGAAGTCATAAGCAACGATTTTAGAGTATAAACAAAGTTCACATAAAAGTTTCGTGGTATTATTGCGTAAATGTTTGGACCAACGTTTGTTGTGTATACTTTCTACATCTTTTATACATACATTGCACAAGAACTCTTCTCTCAAAGCTGCATACTAGAATTTTTCTTTTTGTTATGCTTTTGCACACCAAAAATATTTGTTAAGTAAATGGTTTGAACCCGGGAGTATTGTTACATGTTTTTAAATGTAGATCGTCCAGGTTGGTATAGTCTTGAGAAGGACTGTTTTTGTTGTTGT